GCGCAACTGCCCATTTGCGCAACTGTCCGTTTGTGCGACTGCCTTTTTGTCGTACAGCCCAGTTGCGCAACTTTCTATTTATATGATTTTCCGTTTACGTATCTGCCCTTTTAAGCAACCCCAATTTACGCAACTGCCCATTTGTGCAACTGCCCATTTGTGCAACTATCCGCTTTTATGACTGACTTTTTGTGCAATTGCCCATTTATATGCAACTGCTCATTTTTACCTGAATCTCCATTTCTGCAACTGCTAGTTTGTCTTACTGCCCATTACTGCCCATGTGCGCAACTGTCCGTTTGTGCGACTGCCCTTTTGTCGTACGGCCCATTTGCGCAACTTTCTATTTATATGATTTTCCGTTTACGTATCTGCCCTTTTAAGCAACCCCCATTTATGCATCTGCCCACTTATATGACTGCCCATGTGTGCAAAGGGCTGTTGCTCCCAAAGTACAAAAAAAAGAAGCTGACGGGCTGATTATAATGCAGGAAAAACCCATCAGACCCCTATTTCCTGTTTGTCTTTATATGTTTAATAACTAACTCTCAATACGGTTGGGAATTGACCTGTAAGGCTGAAGGTTAGGATAGTTTGTAGGGAAGAAAATCTCTGATACTTTCACAAATCGACTGTTACCAACTAGACATGCACTATTTATGTTCCTGTCATGTACGGCAGGTCATGCCTTTTGTCTTTGTAGGGTAAAAAAAGGGAAGTCCAATGAAGTTATAGCAATAAGGTTATGTTCTGTTGTACAGAGAGTGTGTATTACCAGAGAAACCAAACAATGGCCATTTTCCTTTGGCATAACAGGCTGCCCGGGACGTTTGCTTTTGGACAATTTTGGACATTGTAGTGGAGCAATAATGGGCTGTCAGAACAATGGGAATGCACTAAAGGATTTGAGCAACAAAAATAGAGACTAACATATAAATGATAGAACTAAGCTCTTGTACAATTTACTCATGACATGCATATTGCATTTTATAGTCAAACAGCAGCAGAGAGATTAGGAGGAGGCGGAAGGTAGACTACATTTCTCCTAATCTCTCCACTTTTACGGCATCATGCTGCGAGCGTAAACAACCACTGTTCCTCTCCCTTCACAGCCACACAAGGACTAACGGTGCTGCTGGCACACACAACAGGCAGCTGCACATCTACACACTTTCCACTGCAACAACACATAGTGCAGCACACAACTAACTGGATACAACAATGACAGCAAATCGTATGATGAAAGGACCTTTTAATCGAAGCTTTTGGATACACATGCTGCGTATTTGTTCGTGCACAGTGTAATGACTTGTTACCTCTTGTACAAGCTGAGAAATCCCATTCTCAAAAGCTGTTCCCTTTTTGTGAGAGAGACTAATGTCAGTATCCCACTCTCTGGAAGTTACAGAGCCGGCAGAGAGTAGTATCCTGTTGTTTTCAAAATGACGGCACTTCGATTGTCCCCACAACAAAGCAGATTCTCTCGAGCTCCGAGGTTTGTTTTTGACCTTGGAAACAGCAGCTTGACAAAAAAGCTAATCCTGAAGCGTCGACTGAGGCGAACAAAACTCTGAAGTCACATTTCAAGTCAAACACTGCCAATGTTTGGTTTTGTTGCTAAAAAGATGGGAAAGCTTTATGATGTCAAGGCAAAGTATATAGTAACGTTGCCGCCATGGTTCAAAATTGACCAATAGCTCAATATCGATTAGTGCATTGTTCAAATCGCAGGTAGCAAAATATTTTATATTGTTATATACAATTTAAAAGTATTGTGGAGCTGCAGAGACATCCTAGCCTCCAAAAAAAATTATACAGACTCAATGAAACATATTTTGGTTTCGTACAGATCTTTAAAGCAATTACAGCATAATGGTTTTAATATATTTTTCAATGATAATGAGCGTTGTATTACAAAAACGATAAATGCTCCCAAAAATTGCAATTTCAATCATATTTTTCTCCAAATGGTGCAGGCAGAGAGGGCAATGTACGGATTTTGACGGTTCTAATCGTGCCTTCATTCATTCAAAATGACTTTAATACATTACATCCAAAGCAACTTACATACTCAGTACTGTGGGCAATCCCCACAGGAGCAATTTGGGGTGAAGTGTCTCAGGGACACAACGACATGCTGACTGCAGTGGGACTCGAACTTGCTACCCCCTGATTCGAAGTTCAGCGCACTATCTCACTGATACCACAAAACTCTTACAGTAGCCATTGGTCATATCCAAAAAAGACAATGCAAGCATTTTCTACCTAGGTTGTCAATGTCTTCACGAAACTCCTGCCAGCTGTATCATTTTACAGATACAAATAAAACTTTTGCTCCTAGTGGCTTTAATAATTTACCACCACCTCACGGAAATATTCTCTGTTTCATAAGGCACTAACTTCCCCAGTTTCTGTCGAGTCATCACTTCCTACACGCGCTCAAGAAGTAACTGGTACAATAAATCCAGAGCCACCTGCTGTATTTGTTTTCTGGGTTTGGGGTATTTACCATGTTGGGTTTCGTTTGATATTCAGCAAAGCCGAGCATTCGTGTCGCTCTGATTTTCCGCTCATGATTTACACTTGGCTTAGAGAGAAAGCTGAAGGAAGATGACATTTTGTCTCGAAAGCTGTCAAGTTTGTCTTCAGTTTGTCGGTTTCCCCCCTCTCTGGCTTATCCTCCTTTTCCTCTGCCAGTCCAACAACTTCTGCCTCTCCTCTAACTCCTTCTCACTTTCTTTTACCTCCGCCTCGTCAAGTCTACCTGTGTTCTCAGAGGAGACGACTGAGTCAGTGCTCAGATAATCAGCCCGTTCAGATGAAGAAAATATGGAATTCAAAAACAATCTTCAATGCTAATGAAAGCCTCGGGGAAAGTGTTGAAAGAACATTTTTCTTTTTTAAGTAGAGTTTAAACATTGACCGGCGTTATTATTTCTCTTTTCCTCAAATCAACCCCTCGTTCTTGATGTGCTGCAAATGTATTTCCCTCTGAGATATCCGTGTGGAAAACAGGACACCCACCGAGACGGAATGATTGGCTTCCTGAATATATTTGGTAGCTGAAGGTATCATCAGCCGTCTCATTATAAAGTAATAACCTTTCTGGAGGCTGCACAATATTTCTTTTTAAATCAGAATAGATTTAAACAAATTGGAGTAAAATATAATGGGATTTTTTTTTCTGCTTTCACTGGGAAAACCCTGATTTGCTTTTAAGCGTTTTTAGCACCTCATCTGTCACAGTTTGAGGCTTTGTTATGGGATGCTTCATTTAACAAATGTGTTCAAAGATGTAGGAACTCTTAAAGGAACTTTGTTCCGCAGCGTTCATTGTTTTTAAATGGGCGTTATTATCATACAATACCATTTAATATAGCCAAGTTTCCACCCCCCTTGAGGGTTAGCTTCTGTTACATTAGCTTATTGCTCTTGATGTATTTTCTTGCGTTATTGTTCATCAGGTTCATTTCCAAACTAACTCTGAAAACCAAGTGTTTAACAGAGGTTGGATTAACAGCCTCAACAACAGACTAATCACCTGATTATCCAAAGTCTTTGTCGGATACATCTTGGCTACGGACGAATAGTCCAAATAATCCTCACTTCCTAACCGCTATTCCTAAACCTAGGTGAAAAACTGTTTGTACTTATTTCAAGCGAAGACACCTTGTTTTCATGATTTGTTCATCTTGTTTTTTGAGCAGCATTTTCTCCAGTGAATGAACTTGCCTTTCTTCTTGCAGGTAAATTCACGTGCATCGAGGTGCGTTTCCACCTTGAGCGTCAGATGGGCTACTACCTGATCCAGATGTACATCCCGTCTCTGCTGATCGTCATTCTGTCCTGGGTCTCCTTCTGGATCAACATGGACGCCGCGCCCGCCCGCGTGGGTCTGGGCATCACCACCGTGCTGACCATGACCACGCAGAGCTCCGGGTCCAGAGCCTCGCTGCCCAAGGTGAGGACCAAGGCTGCTAACCCTAAACCTAACTCTGACCCTAACCCTTAGATTAGAGCCTCGCTGCCCATGGTGACGACCAATCAAACGCACCCGTTTCTCTTACAGGCTGCTGACCCTAACTCTGACTCTAACCCTTAGATTTATATAGACCCTGACCTTTTAACATTTTTGGTAAAAAATACATTTAATGATGGATCTGGGGAAAAAATAAACCATAGTTGGTGGTTGTGGAGGTGCAGGCGTTTACAAAAATGTGCTTGCATGAGATGTTGGACAACATTCCTTCATTCGTCCTGCTTCGGTTTCAGGCTGCCAACCCTGACCCCGACCCTGACCCTGACCCTGACCCCAACCCTGACCCCAACCCTGACCCTGACCCCGACCCTGACCCTGACCCCGACCCTGACCCCGACCCTGACCCTGACCCCGACCCTGACCCTAGCTGCTATTCGAGGAAAACTCTGTCTTAAAAGTTGGTAAAAATACATTTTCTGAAGGATCTGGGGGAAAATAAACCATAATTGGAGGTGCAGGCATTGTGCTTATATGACGTGGTACAACATTCCTTCAATGTGTGTAAATTGTGTGGGGAAATTATATTAATATTTAAAAATAATAATGAAAATAATAGTCAATAAAAAAAAAATTTTTTAAATAATATGATAAAAATAATGAAGAAAATAAATAAAGAATAATAATAACAACAAAAGTAATTAATAATATAAACTCAAATAAGGCAGAAACTCCCGCTAAAATGACACATTTACATACCATTTGTTTCCAGTTTAAATAGCATTTAATTGAGCTGCTATTCAAGACAAATGTGTGTAAAGTGGGAATTTTAAAAGTTATCAAAAATACATATTTAATTATGGATCTGGGTGAAATATTTAAAAACTAGAATTTGTCATTGTCGGAGAATTTGCATGAGTTTACAATTTATTACATAAAAAAAACATATTTGTTGTGATAAATTAAATGTAATAATAATCATAGTAAATTGCAAAAAATGATATGGTAAAAATAATAAATAAAACAAATGAAATAAGAAAAAAACTCCCGCAAAAATGATAAATTCCCAAAAACATTTATTTTCAGTTTAATTCAGAGAATTTCAAAGTTGTTCTGAGATCCAGTCAGAATGAGTGAATGGCAGAACTGAGTAAAAGCATAATTCATTGTCAAAAGATATAAATGCATGAATATGACTGGAAGGTTAGGGTGGCAAATGTTTTCCACACCTTTCTTCACACGGCTGGAGATGCCAAATAAACAGGGAGCGTAGAAAGGAAATGAGTAAATGTGAGATTCAGCAGAGAAAGATTTACAGAGAGCTCCAATTCACACTGAATAATTGATGTGCTAAACACGGTGAGAGGAAATGAAAATATATAGACACAGAGAAGAGTTATAGTAGAAGAGGGGGAGGAAGGGGGGAGACGTTGTGTTTGTGGAGGGAAGAGGGTTTAAAGGAGGCAGACAGATGGAGGGAGAAATGGAGGGGACACAGGAAGTGAAAGAAAACAAAATAACTATTTTCAAAATCAAGAGAAGCCGTTTCCTGTGAGGGATTTTCAGATTAAAGGTAGCAGGAGAAAAAAGAAGAAAAACGGGCAGACTTTGCGTGAGCCAGTAGGATTGTATAATTATGTCCAGGGATGCTGTAATCCCCAACTCTCACACACACACACACACACACACACACACACACACACACACACACACACACACACACACACACACACACACACACACACACACACACACACTATGTATGTTGACATTAGGTGCTTCATGCGCTCTAAAAATTGAACAAGTGAACCGTGATTCCTCTGCAGTTCAGCTGTCACAATAATGATCACACAGCACAGCTGAGCTTAGGTTGGCATACTGCTCACACACACACACACACACACACACACACACACACACACACACACACACACACACACACACACACACACACACACACACACACACACACACACACACAGAGTGTGTGTGTGTGTGTGTGTGTGTGTGTGTGTGTGTGTGTGTGTGTGTGTGTGTGTGTGTGTGTGTGTGTGTGTGTGTGNCATCCAGTTATTTTAGCCGGGCCGGCTCAAATGATTGGTCGTGCTTTTTACAGTACCACAGCTTCCACAGATGACATTTTTTAATGTATTTATTGTCAAAGCACTTCAGATATTCGTTGCTATCGGGATGTTAAGAGCATTCCATGGAATATAACAAAAAGTGTTTCTAAAATAAATTACATACCCCACCTTTAAAGTTAACTTCATTTGATTCATTGTAATGCCCTCTTTATAACGAGCTTGTTTGTAAACATTACTGCTTGTAATATGTATCATGTGTATAATATCTATGTACTGTATATAAATAATATGTAGGCATAAAGCAGTCTTACCTGTCGCTGTCGGATGAAGATGAAGGTGTTCGTTTTGCCGGGGTGGGTTTGGGTTTGGGTTTCCGTGCACGAGGCTTTGGTGCGGGCTTCTCTGTGGGTGCTAAAGACAAAGCAAATTAAATAAATGTACGTTGGGCAAAAGGAAAGGGCCTGAAATCTAAGTCCAGAAACATTTATTTCCAGAATTGGAAGCTGAAATGTATGAACAGCAATGAACCCACACCTTTCTTGCGTGCCTGAGGGGCTTTTTTAGGAGGAGGGTCTGAGTCTGAGTCAGACTTTGAGCCGGACTGAGACTCGGAGCCGGACACAGCCGGTCGAGGCTTCTCGTCCTCCGACTCGCTGTCAGCTGCTTTCTTCTCTGGTTCTGATCCTGATCCTGATCCTGAGTCCGAGCCAGACATACCCTTCTTCAACATGACAGAACAAATTGGAGTTAGAGATAAATGAATAATACAAAAACTGCCATGCCATAAAAAAATGTTTTAATGTGATGCCGATGGTTCACCTTGTTCTTCGCTCTGCCTCCTGCTTTCGGTCCACCTCGTCCTCCACCAGCTGCTTTCTTCTCTGGTTCTGATCCTGATCCTGAGTCCGAGTCTGAGCCAGACACAACCTTCTTCAACATGACAGAACAAATTGGAGTTAGAGATAAATGAATAATACAAAAACTGTCAAGCCATAAAAAAAACGTTTTTATTGTGATGCTGATGGTTCACCTTGTTCTTTGCTCTGCCTCCTGCTTTCGGTCCACCTCGTCCTCCACCAGCTGCTTTCTTCTCTGGTTCTGATCCTGAGTCCGAGTCTGAGCCAGACATACCCTTCTTCAACATGACAGAAAAAAATTGGCGTTAGAGATAAATGAATAATACAAAAACTGCCATGCCATAAAAAATGTTTTTAATGTGATGCCGATGGTTCACCTTGTTCTTCCCTCTGCCTCCTGCTTTCGGTCCACCTCGTCCTCCACCACCCGCTTTCTTCTCTGGAGTAAAATCCTGTTGGAAAAAATGCAAATGAGTAACATTCATTGGCTTTTTGTTGATAACGTGGTGTGTGCATCTGTGTGTGTAAGTACCTGGTCACTATTCTTGCCGGACTCAGACTCTGAAGGTGTGGGTTCTGAGTCAGATCCACTCTCCTGTTTGTCTGGCTCACTGGACGAGCCACGAGCCTTTTTTGAAGGTGGAGGCCGCTAAAATAGAAACACACATATTTCAATAAAACAAGTTGAACTTTTCAGAATCAGAATACCTTTATTAGTCCCACAGAGGGGACATTTACATTGTTACAGCAGAAAAGAGCCAAACACAGTTTAATGTTACCTAAGCATGCATCAGAAGTACTAAAGATAAAAAAAGAAATAATAATAAAAAGTTACACATTTTACAAAAATACACATCTTGTAGCAGTTCTGAGGATTTAGCAGCCAGGTATATATTGCACCGTTTTTAACGGCATATATATATATATCTTTCGATCTCGTTTGAATTGTGCCATGAATTACACATATGATGTTTGTCAATCTTAAAAAATAATTTCCATGTCAAAAAAGTCACAGTTTCTCATAAAACTGTTGAAATATAAGACTATGAAAAATACGTAAACATCATGTGTAATTCGTTGCACAATTCAAACGGGATCAAAAGATAATTTTTCTCTCCCCATTGACTTCAATACATGATTTTTCCAAAATAAGGTCCCATGGAGGTCCACCGGAAAGGGAGGGACTTCGCCTCTCTATAGTCAGTGTTGTTGTGTGTGTGTGTCTTTATCAAGTATTTCACTGCAGCTTGTTTTTATACACAGTCAGTTTTGTTTTCAGCCAAACATGGTGATGGTGAAAGGCAACTCTAATCTCTATAAAGGGCTGTCAACACTGGAACACATTTACAATTGAGCAAATTAGTTTCCATTTATTCACGGATTGGGTTAAAGAAAACAAGAACGGAACCGAAGTGATTGTCATTTACAAAGATGCATTAATGCATAAGTGTTTCTGTAGTGCAGTATCAAATCAAATCAAACTTTATTTGTATAGCCCAATATCACAAAATACATTTGTCTCAGTGGGCTTTACAGATTAAAAACCAACAACATTGGATGGAGTTACAGCAAAATGAGTATATAGGCGCTTTCACACCGCAGTACTGCGAGTAGTCCATCTGTGTATTTGTGTATTGTACTGTATCATGGACAAGGGTTGAAAATGAGTTTCATGCTCTGTATTGGAAATATGTTGAATTGCACCGTCCCTAACATTTCAAAATAACTTTGAATGTACAGCTCGACCTGTCAAACTTGTACATGTATCATTATTGCTCATGACAACAAAAAAAGGAAGTTAAGAGTCATCAGCGGTATTTTGTTGATACCTCCTGTTTTTCTTAATTCATACCTTACACACAAATTCTCAAAACAGACCTAAGCATTGTAAATTGTGATGGTAACTTTGATGCTGCTGATTAAACTTGGTGGCATTGTACCCATAATTGTAAACAAGAATATCATTTTCCATTCATCTCAACAACAGATAGTCTGATCCAATCAGCAAATGGTTTATTAGCCAAATCCCTAAACAGGCCTTGACCGACAGTTCAATGTTATGTTTAACGGCCATTACCTTAGCAGGAGGTGGCTTTCTCTTCACAGCTACTCCCTTTCCTTCATCTTCACTCCCAGAATCTGAGTCCACCACACTAGCTGAATCTGCTTTCTTAGGCGCTGGGGCTGCTTCTCCCTCGTCTTCATCTTCATCACTTCCTCGCCCGGCATCGTTGCCCTCACTGTCAGATGAGCTGGCCGGCTGCAAATGAAGATGATTAATTAAAAAATGTCAAGACAATTTTCTTTTTCTTTGACGGTTTCTGTCTTAGACAGAGACATAAAAAATGGGGACAGAAATGCAGCAAAGTCCCCTGGTAAGAATTGAACAACAAATGTTGCAGTACGCATCACACCTTAGACTGCTGGCCATCAGGACTCCCTAACTGCTGCGTTTTATTCCAGAGAAAAGACAAGGAATGTTTATTTGTAAAGCACTTTTAAACAACCAGACAATTGAAAGTGCTTTAAAAGTTAATATCTGCATGTTAGTTAGAAAATAATGGACAGAAAAATGTATTAATGTGCAAGAGCTGAGCAGGAATGAATATAAACACCTTCATGTTTGACACTAATAAAGACTTCAAATTCCTCATTTACAGTTTCTTTACAGGTATGAGTTAAACGAAAATTGCTTCAGGATTTAGGATTTCTGAAATAATGGTATCTTACTGCTGGCGGTGCGCTGTAGGATGCATGTGGATTGTTCTGGATCTCCCATAAACCTTCATTGAACCCCTTCCTTTTGTTGGGCTTTCCATAGCGTTCGCTGTACTTTTCATAGGCAAAAAGGTCCTTTGCTGCAAGGAATGCTCTGTGAAGCAGTAAGATTGAAGTATTATTTAAGCTGTACAATTTTCGAAAAGGACATACAGTTATTATTGAACAGGTTGGCATGATATAGGCTTTACACTGACTGACTTGAAACACTTGACTGTGCCACCTAGTGATGGATTATTAAACTGCAGGTGCCATATTGTCAAACAGATGGTGTCTGATGCCATATCAGACATATAAACACATCTCTCGAAAACATACTGCTAACTCAGACTGACAAAAGTCTACAGTGAGTAAACCTTCAGAAAAGAATAAAGCTTAAAGGTGGGGTAGGTAAGTTTGAGAAACCGGCTCGAGATACACTTTTTGTTATATTCCATGGAATGCTCTTAACATCCCGATAGCAATGAATATCTGAAGAGCTTTGACAAAAAATCCATTAAAAAATGGCATATGTGGAAGCCGTGGTACTGTAAAAAGCACGACCAATCATCTGAGCCGGCCCGGCTAAAATAACTGGATGGCCTACCTGCCTGTCAGCCTTCCATCTGTGCACAAACTTATCTCGTGCCCTCATTGGTCATGTGTGCGTTCGTGTGTGTTGGAGGAGGGGCTCTTTAAGGAAGTGGCAGATTTTTTCCGGCTGTGTATTTTCAAATTCTAGCGCACTCGAGCTGGTTTCTCCAAAATTACCTACCCCACCTTTAAGAGAGGAGACTGACAAACAACTGTGCGAGATGAACGTAGAGCATTGTGTTGTGGTCTCATAGCATAGCTGTCAAAGAGCATATAATGCTAACAAACAGATATGCAGCATGACAAAAATGAAACAATACTTGAATAACTTAATATCAGACAGAATTGTAATACAATTCCATGCTTACAGTAGATTACAGAAAATTATTTGCTGTCATTTAAAGAGGCCCTATTATGCTTATTTGGGTTTTCCCTTCACTGTAGTGTTTTATAAAAGGTGCGTGTGCATGTTACTGGTCTGCAAAGGCTAACATCACCAAGTTTAGCTAGAGGGACTTAGGATAGCAGTCCTTTGTTTACTTCCGCAACATTGTGACATCACTACTTAACACAACCTCTTGTATTGGCTAGTGCTCTACTACATTGTAGTACATAATAGACTATGGGGCGGGACATCTCTAAGCAGTTGACAAAGCACAACAGAGCCGGCCAGCTAACCAATCAGAGCAGACTGGGCTCTGGTTTCAGACAGAGGGTGAAAAGAGGTGCAGCAGCACAGGCAGTATGAGAAAAGTAAAGAGCTTTTTGAACATTAAAGCATGGAGACATGTCACAGTAGAGACATCAAATACAAATATGGAACCTGAAAATGAGCATTATAGGGCCCCTTCAGGTTAAAGCAGGTAGGCTGGTTTTTTGTTTCTCCAACTAAAGATAATTACAAAACTGTACTCACGTCTCATGTGTCCCAAAGAAGAAAATTGGGATTTTATTAGGAGGTGGTTTCACTGCCCCATCAGCCACATCTTCAATCTGCAAACAAGCAAGTAAATACCAAGTGGCAAAAAAAAACATTATAGAATTCATTCAAACATGGTGGCAGCATGTATTCATTTAGGTTGTGTCAGAAAAACATAACATTGCAGAGTGAAGCTGATTTAACTTTGTATGGATGCATATGTGGTGGTTTTATATTGAGTAATGTGTTTTCTTATCTAGAATTATGAATCGTCATTTCCAAAATAACGTTAGCTTCGCAGCAGTGCATTCCCATGCAGATTAACGTTAGGCCAGCAGTATCTCATGCAAATTATGCTGCTAATGCATTGCATAGAGGCCTGAAACACAGCCTGTCAGCTCCACCACATATTAACTTGTGCATTTGTGGGATGGTTATACATGTTAGACAGTGGATACACAGAGAGCCTTTGCATGCAGAGCAGCTCATCCCCTCCGCCCCTCCGGCTGCTGCTAGCGTTGCTTACCCTGGCTGGCCAGTGGGGGTACCCCTTCATTTTAGCGAAAACCAGGTCTCCGGGCTGGAAGCTGTGCGGCATTGTCCCACTCCTCGGTGCAGCCGGGATTTAGAAAGTATTCGGCGGCGTAGCCTTCCTGTGTCTCTCTCGGTTTGCTGTTTTTTTCAGGTCGACACGAAACCTAGAAACGATGGTGTTAGCTAGCTAAGCTAACAGTATACTAACGTTACCGCGAGAACAAGCGGCTCAGGGAAGATGGCAGTAACGTAGCAAGCACTTCCGGTGAGAGAATGTTCTATGTCTTCTAAATAAAGGACCTCTACTCAATGTAAAAACATTGTAATTAAATTGATCCAACAAATAAACAAATACAAATAAATAAATTAACCTCAATCTTCATTTATCATACATTTCCAGCGTTAACATCATTATTAATATTATTACACTAATCCAATCCCCCAGTTTAACTTTACATTTCTGATTTATAATAAACTGCTTTTACTCTTTTGCACATTATGAGTTAACAATTATTAACATTAGCTGTATTTATAGTTAAATACTTTGTACAGTGTTTCTATAACTAATATGTATTGCACTTGTTATACCATGTCTTGTATCTTGTTCTGTAGATTACCTGTCTTTGTGTCTTCTCTTTATTGTTCATTATTTTGTTTTTCTGAACATGCAAACACAACTCGGTGCGCACTGTATATAGATTGATGACAATATAGCCCCTTATCTCATCTCTGTATATCACCAGAAACGTCACATGATGCAGGATCTTAATCTTCAAAAACAATTAAACAAGTATGTGCAACTATATTTGTTACCTACCTACACGTATCTAATAATAAACAAATAATAAACAGGCTTGCATACGTATACTTCTTTATTGTCATATTCACAATCATTAGAGAGCAGTCAATGTCAATAATAGTCTTGGATCTCAGGCTCTCTCTCACAATACTCATACAATTAAGAAAGCAAAATCAAAATACATAGAATACATACAAAATATAATAAGGCAATATGAATTAGTGCTAGATAGTTGTGCCCATATTATCAAAATGTATTTTAAAGTTTTTCGGATTGATACATTAAATGTGTACATTTTTTAATTACAAAAAGGTTACATAAAGTTTCTGACTTTTATTCTACAAAGTAAATTCTCCTTCGTTGTCAAACCGGAAATTCATCTTCCAACGTTCTCAGAAGCTTCACTAATCCGGATGAAGCAGGTTGATCGGCTCCACGCGATACGACAACCACGGCGGAAGTCCCGCCTCCCTCTCCTCGCTATTGGCTGACACTCGATCCGTTTCCTCTCCACCCAATGACAGATCCTAAAGTAGAGGGCTGCATTGACCTCCCCCCGGATTCACCTCTAATGCGTAGCCATGTTTCGGTCTTTGAGACGCGTACAGCAGTTTAACTGCAACCTCCTGGCTTTAAAAAGAGTCAGAGTCAACTCGAAACTGCTAATCTGCACGTCCAGAATGGCCGCCTCAGAGTACAGGATCGAGCGGGACTCTTTCGGTGAGTTAAAGGTCCCAGCTGACAAGTACTACGGAGCCCAGACTGTCAGATCCACTATGAACTTCAAAATTGGGGGACCCAGTGAGAGAATGCCGATCCAAGTGATCAAGGCCTTCGGTATCCTGAAGAGAGCAGCGGCTGAGGTGAACAAGGAGTTTGGCCTGGACCCTAAAATAGCAGATGCAATCATCCAGGCTGCAGATGAGGTGTCAGCTGGTAAACTGGATGATCATTTCCCTCTGGTGGTGTGGCAGACTGGATCAGGCACTCAGAGCAACATGAATGTAAATGAGGTGATCAGCAACAGGGCTATTGAGATCCTGGGAGGAAAACTAGGCTCCAAGGATCCCGTCCATCCTAATGACCACGTCAACAAGAGTCAGAGCTCCAATGACACTTTCCCCACCGCCATGCACATCGCTGCAGCCACAGAGGTCCACCACGTCCTGCTGCCCGGCCTGCAGGCGCTGCACGATGCTCTGGCTGCAAAGGCTGTAGAGTTCAAAGACATCATCAAGATCGGACGCACACACACTCAGGATGCTGTGCCGCTGTCCCTCGGGCAGGAGTTCAGTGGGTATGTCCAGCAGATGAAGTACAGCATCGAGAGAGTCAAGTCTGCCATGCCCCGAGTGTACGAGCTGGCAGCAGGAGGCACAGCAGTGGGGACTGGACTCAACACCCGCATCGGCTTCGCTGAGAAAATCGCCTCCACCGTTTCCTCTCTCACAGGCCTGCCATTTATCACCGCCCCCAACAAGTTTGAAGCTCTGGCGGCCCACGATGCCATGGTGGAGCTGAGTGGAGCTCTGAACACCGTGGCTGTCAGCTTGATGAAGATCGCCAACGACATCCGATTCCTGGGGTCAGGACCTCGCTCCGGCCTGGGAGAGCTCATCTTACCAGAGAACGAACCAGGAAGCAGCATCATGCCGGGCAAAGTGAACCCCACCCAGTGTGAGGCCATCACCATGGTGGCAGCCCAGGTCATGGGGAACAACGTGGCGGTCACTATCGGAGGCAGCAACGGACACTTCGAGCTCAACGTCTTCAAGCCCATGATCATCAAGAACGTGCTGAACTCAGCCAGGCTTCTCGGAGATGCATCCGTGTCCTTCACCACCAACTGCGTGCTGGGCATCGAGCCCAACATCGAGAGGATCAACAAGCTCATGAACGAGTCCCTCATGTTGGTCACCGCTCTCAACGAACACATTGGGTACGACAAAGCGGCCACCATCGCTAAGACGGCGCACAAGAAGGGCTCCACGCTGAAGGCCGTGGCCGTGGAGCTGGGCTATCTGACCGAGGAGCAGTTTGACCAGTGGGTGAAGCCGAGTGAGATGCTGGGGCCAAAGTGAACTGTGACAGCACAAGAAACACTACAAGACAAATGAAATACCTTTTCTAGTGTCGGAAAAGACTACAAATAAATCAAAGAGACTGAAATGTATGAAGCAACATCTCTGAATCCTGAACATCTCATCTTTTAAAAAAATATATGAGAATGCTTTGCAGCTTCTTTCTCGGTTGACTAATGGTGATGGTTAATTTCACTGTCATACACTTGTATCAGTAAAGCCACCGATTTGATTGACTTATATTTAAAGATGCTCCTTCACAAAAAAAACACCTGTTTGTGAGAGAACATACCGTTTTGATTGAAATGAGTTTTAAAAAAGTGTCATTTGTGTACCAACTTTCTTGGTTTTGGTATTTGAAGTCTTAAATGAATTTGACTTATCAGTTGGTATCTTTATTGTTGTTCAGAAGTTCACACTTTGCCATCCAAAAGGATTCAACAGGGACCGCTGTGTGCTCTGGTTTACAGCACGTGTGCCATTTTTTGTTCCAATTTAATGATGTATTCATTAAAAAGCAACTACATTCTAGTTTCTGGCTTTCCTCCTCATGATTTACAGTTTACACACGCATGCTACATGTATATAATAATAAACTGATCTATGGGTTAAATCAACAGAATATATGCACTCAAAGGGAAACACAATAGATTACTCAAATCCTTTATTGTATACACACGGAAGTAAAACATGAGAATTACTTGAGGCCAATTGGAGGACTTTTAATTGTAAATATATAAAATAAGCAAATAAATGTGATGACTTAAGTTCAATCAGTAAAAAGTAAACAGAGAGACCGCTTGCTCCTCTTCTATTTGGTCCAGCTGACCTTGGGAATATCATAATGCTCTGTCAGGCAGTCCAGGTGCCGATTGAAGTCCTGCAAAAGAACAAAAACAATAGAATATATTTATTTGTGTTAACATTATTCAACTGTAATGTAATGCAACGAATAGGTCCACTGAATGGTGCTATGACATGTTTGCCATGACTTACCTCCACTCTCAGTTTGTGAGTCTTTGATGCCTTGTTCAAAATCCTCTCCATTTGCTTTAGGGAAGATAAGAAAAAGTGAACGTTAGTCACTTCCGATGAGTCACTCTGTCTGTATACACCTCTACAACACATCTACCCAAACACACGAAACGTTAAGAACTGGTTAACGGCTATGTTTCTTTTTGACAGCATCACCTGTTTGCAATATATGACATGCTAAAACTCCCCTAATACTGGAATAGAGCCATGTATTCCTGCTGTAGCTGAAAATACATTCACCACTTCAATCAATGAACTTTGACCTCTGGGTAGAGAGGGGCTGATAAACACTGTCAGTGTAAGATTTAAAGACTAATCAACAGACCATGAAAGATCATTAACCTTACTTGAGCTAACAAAATCTTTTTTTTTTTTTTAGAAGATTTCAGCTTGGATCAATCTGCTATGTTAAATTTAAATACAGTTGGCAATCTATTTCAATGGTATTTCCAATATAATAGCACATAAGTTAATAATTGACAACTCTCCTATGGATATGTTGGCATTACGGTTCCACTATAGCATTACTGGTTGCGATGCTAAGTGTGCAAAATTGTCATCCTGTAGTATAGTATGACAAATTGAAAGTGTATTATTGTAAAAATACTATTTAAAAAGGGTTGTTCTGTGCGCATCCATCACAGTCTCACGGCATTTCGTGTTATAGTAACAAAATTAATCTATTGATTCGTGTTCACCAACACGATTTCGCCATTTTTTTCGTGTCACACAGAACCATTTTAAAAGCAATGTAAATAACAACAAATAAAAAAAAAAAAACAGATTTCAGTATTCTGACACAAAACGATTTTTAGAAGCAATGTATTTGTATTGGTAGTATGTTTCGTGCCTGCACCAAATAATAACAAATTAGAAGGAAAAAAATATTGAAAAAAAATACAGATCTCAGTATTCTGAGGCTCTGAGCCCCATTTCTTTTCCTCGCGGACGGCAAAAAAACTCAGACATTATATAATTTAAAATAAAAGGGTTAGGCTTGGGGTAAGATATTGACTAAGAAAATGTTTTTATGAACCACACAGACCCGACCGGACAAAAAGACGAGGTGCAGGCACGAAACATACTACCAATAGAAATACATTGCTTTTAAAATTGTGCTGGTGAACACGAATCAATAGATTAAATTCCGTGATACTGGGTTTGTGCATCTGATGATTGGTAACAAACGACATGAGGTACAGTCTTCCAGTAGATCTTTTTGTTTACTTCTGCTAATTTATAATGATTAGCCAGGTCTCTGCGTCAAATCCTGACCCATTCGCTGCAGGTCTTTAATGCTGGAGAACGATAACTTACCCTCTTCTCCGCCATCTTGTCAAAGGACATTTGAGCCGGTGTTCTTTTGTCGACATATGTCTTCTTCTCCTCTTCCTCGTTTTGTTGGGCGGCTTGCTCTAAGAGACGCTTAGTCTCCTTGGCCTTCTTCTTCTTCCTGTAAAAAGATAGTAAAACATGTTGATCAGAGGATTTCCAGACCAACCACTTTATTCAATAAGCAATGAAAAACATATTGTACAGACACATGATAAAATGTAGGCAACTTACATTAGGGTGGCCCTTAAAATTGAAAGTGGGAAAGTCGAAGCTCCAACCCCCAGAATTCATTCTATTAGTCAAGAAAACTCTCCTGGTGAATGTTTTCCTCAATCTGACAACAT